ACCTCCTCCTCCTCCTCCTCCTCCTCCTCCTCCTCCTCCTCCTCCTCCTTACTTCTCTGCTGGCTTGGGGGCCTCCTGCTGCATCCCAGTGCCAAACACGTTGCCGACCACCTGAAGGAGGAGGACGAATGAATGTTCCTCGTACCATCCTCCTCCTCTCTCTTCACCTTGCCAAGGGCCCCGAGGATTCCTCCCTTGGATGCACTGGAAGGCTGCTGGGCAGAAGGTCAGCCAATGAGTCAACAAGCTGACAACTCACGTTGCTCTGAGAGAACGAGGGGACGGCAGGCTTGGCCTTGGCTGCTGAACGAGTCAGAGGAGGAAGCAGGAGGAGGAAGGATGACGGTTTCAGCATCTCACCAGCGGCAGCGGCGGCGGCAGCAGCAGCTCGCTCTTTCTCCTGCCTCTCCCTTTCCTGCCTCTCCTTCTCCTGCCTCTCCTTCTCCTGCCTCTCCCTCTCCTGCCTCTCCCTCTCAGCCTGCATGATGGTCAGCGTCTGAGATGCTACTCCTTGCTCCTCACCTGCTCGGCTCGCTCGCGTTCCTGCCTCTTTCTCTCCTCCAGCTCCTGCTGCTCTCTGATAGCCCGCAACTTTCGCTCTTCGTCTTCCTGCGCCCTTCTCTTCGCTGCCTCGAGACGCTCCTGCTGCTGCTGCGCTTCCTGTAATGGAGTTAGTCAACAAACACTCCTCCTCCTCCTCCTCCTCCTCCTCCTCCTCCTCGTGTCCTGCTGCTCCCTCTGTTCTTGATCGTCACCTTCTGGCGCCGCTCAGCTGCGATCCTCTCAGCCTCGATCCTCTTGTTCTCCAGCTCCTTTCGCCTGAGCCAGCAGATGGTCATGACAATGTCAGGCATCCCTCCCGCCCTCACCTCCTCTCCTGCTCCTGCGCCTTCTTCTTGGCTTCTTCCTCGATCCTCGCTCTGTTCTCTGCTGCTCTCTGCTGCCTCTGAGCAGCATCCAGTCTGTCACAGTGTAAGGACCTCCTCCTCCTCCTCCTCCCTCCATCTTCACCTCGCGCTCGCTGCCCGCGGGTCTTCGTTGCTACTCTGGAACGCGTGCATCATGTCTTGCTTGCCCGCGGACTTGATGTGCGCGCTCAGTCGCTCCTCCGTCAGTCGCTGCGAGGAGATAAGCGAGAGGAAACGACTCAAGGCAGATGCAGCTAGGAGGAAGGAGGCAGAAGAGTGGTAGTAGGATGCAGAGGGAGGAGGGGAGAGGAAGAGGAGATAATGCGGAAGGAGGGGAGGGGAGAGGACAGGACGCTGACCTGAGCCTTCACAGCAGGGGAGGAAGACTTGAGCTCGACGTGCTTGAGGACGACCGGCCGCTGCTGCTGTGGCCACGTGATGACCCGGTTGGCCTTCTCTGCGCTGTCCTCCTGCTAACCCCTCAGCCGCTCGAGAGACCAGGAGAGATAGAAGGAGAGAAGGCAGGAGGGGGGGGTGGGGGGGGGGGGTGGGGGGCGAAGGAGGAGGGTCAGGATCAGGAGCAGGAAGAGGAGAGTGGTGGTGGTGAAAGGGATGGGATGGAAGGTATACCACAGGCTTGTTGTTGTTCAAGCTGGCACGAGGGGGCAGGTTGGATGAGTGCGACGGAGTCTGAGAAAGGAGAATCAGATCCAACCATCTCCCCCGCCTCTTCCTCCCTTTTTCTCGTTCCCTCCTCCTCCTCTTCACCTCATAAGAAGTGATTCCCTTCTCGGCGTTGATCCGAGAGATGATAGCACGGAACTGCTGTACACTCTCGTTGACCTGGGGGAGCGACAGTGAGCACCACGAAAGAACTTCCTCCTCCTCCTCCTTCTGACCTGCCCGATGTCTGGTGGGCGTGCAGCCTTCTTAGCAGACGTGCAGAGGGAGCTGTTGAGAGGGAACGTGAGAATAGAAAGATAACGAACAAGTACAAGTGGAAGGCGAGAAACAGAAAGTTGGGGGAGCGGGGGAGGGAGGCCTCACCCCCCAGTCTCCATCGCGCAGAGTCCAGTGTGGGGGTCAGGCTTCTGCTGCTTCGAGGGGGTCGAGTACTTGGTTACCTCGAGAACCACGGGCTTCTTGCCCTGCTCCTCCTGCCGTCAACAACCCCCTCCATCCTCCTCTCAGCTCACCTCCACGGCTTGCTTCTTGCTGGGAGTGCTCTCTGAGTAACCGTTGGAGCTGGAAGACACCTGGTGAGCTGCCCATGCCTGCTTGCAGGCCTCGAGCCTCTGCTGAAGAGCCTGGGCAGAGCTTGATTGCTTGCTCTCCTCCTCCTCCTTCGGTTCCTCGGCCTTCGCCTTGCTGAAACATCGGCAAGTCATGCCCTCGCATCAAGAGCAAGGGGGAGGCTCCTTACCCGTCACTAGTTCGCTTCGTTCCTGACAGCCTGGTTTCCGAACTCCGCTTCTCCTTCTCCTTGGCTTCCGGCTCCTTAGCCACCTCCTCCTCCTTCTCGCTGTTCTTCTGCTCGACTACAGGAGCTGATAGCTCCTCGTCCATTTCGTCGATCTGCAGATCGTCCAGCACAATCGGGTTGTTTGTCTGCTCGTTGGGCACAGAAGAAACCTGCAAGTCCATGCAGTCGTTGTCCTTGTCGTCTTCCGGGTCAATAACGAGTTCCTCGTCTTCCTCCCCTTCCTCGTCCTTCTCCTCAGCGTCTTCCTTCTGTATTGCTTCCTTGTTGCCGTCATCCTTGACCTTACTTTCAACGACTTCCTCCATATGAACGTTCTCGACCTGCTCCTGCTCTTCCTGCTCCATAGCAAGGTTGACGGCTTCGATGCAGATCAGGTCAAACTTGGGGGTCCCAATGCCTGACCCTCTGTCACAAGGCTCTCCGGTGTAGTACGGTCCTCGGACATCCGTCAAGTCAGCATCCCATCTCACGCTCACGCTCCTCTCGTCGGGCTTCAGCGCTCCTCTCCCAGGGATGATCTCGATAGTGCCTGCGAGTCCTCGCGAGGACTTGTGGCTTTTCCCTGACACGTGCCTTACTCGCATCCCCACCCTAGGAATGATGTCCTGGCCCACCAGCACTGTCTCGAACTTGTCCGCCTGCTCAGCCTCCAAGGCACTTGCAAGCTTAGCAACAAGCTCGTCCTTGAGCCCAGTAGTCGGGAGGCCGCGAGCTTGGAGCTCTGCCCTCAGTTGCACAACTTTGAGCTTCGACAGGTCCTTCTTATCAAGCGATGAGAGGTCCTGCCCGTCATTCGCTGACTCCTGCTGTTTGCTCTTTCCTGAGATGGATTTTCCTCTCGACTTTTTCGCGTCCTTCTTCGATGCCTCCTCTTGCTCATTCTCGTTGCTTGACTGGCTCTCCTCAGCTTTGTGCTTCGAGACCTTGAATGGACGTTCAATCTTGCCATTGTCCACGTTCTCTTTGTTGTCTTCGTTCTATGAGCAGTTTAGAACAGAAGATCACACTCCACATATCTCTTACTTGAATCTTCGACGTCGTTCGCTTGGCTTTGCGGTTGGTTGGGGGGCACACAAGCCCAAGGCCGTCCCTGTAGCAACATGAACATACAACACTTTCTCATTTCACGGCAATCTCACTTGCTTTCTTTTGTGTCTGCAATGGTCTTTCTCAACCATTCTTGATGTTCGACAAATTCTTCTTGAAGTTGATCGAGCTTCTCATCACATTTTCCTCTAATCCCCAACAGCACCTTCTCAAGAGCTTTGAGATGTCTGGCTGCTGTTGACATCTTTTGTAGATACAAGCTACGCAGGGAACGCTAAATCACCCTGCCTTTCACCTTTTTTGTCGAACTTGCTGCAAGAAAGCTGAACCTGATAAAGAGAATCAAGTGAGAAACATCGAAACGTAAACTAAACAATGTTGGAAAATTGGAAAGAAACTGACTGGGAGAGTTCAGGTGCTGTTGGAAACAAAAGATGAAAGCTTAGCAGAGATGATAAAGATCAAGATGAAGATAAGAACACCACGAGGAGGAGGAGAAGGACGAGGAGGAGGAAGAAGAAAGAGGTCAGAGTCAGGTGTCAGCGAGCAGGCAACGCCAAGGAGGAGGAGCTCGGGGTAGGAGGGGTCCAATACCCAACAAGTGCACCAAAAACAGGGGGTGGTACCACCGGCGTGCATCAGCCTACACGCGAATTCAAATTTCCAAACGTTAAAAATTGGAAGTACCCTCATCCCCCTCCCTCCCATTGCTGGTGGCCTCATCCCCACTCACTTCATAACCCCCCTCATCCCCTAGAAATTGACCACCTACCCCTCGATCTTAAGTCCTCGCACAATTGTATACCCCCCCATGTATGGCTTATTACCCCACTATTTCTCATGTATGGCCCACAAAATTTGACCCCCACCCCCTCGTCGGCTACGTCCCGCCACTGGCAACTCCATGGCTTTGCTTCCCGTGCCTTGTAGGGGGCAGTAACAAGAACGATGATGCTTCCTGTGAGCTCTTCGACCTCCTCCTTGCTCCTCTCCCTCCCTAATTTCAGCTCCTCCTCTCCCTCCCCGCTCGCAGCTATCCCTCTCTTGTTCTCCTTCCATCCATCCTCTCGCCTTCAAACTCAAAGCTGTTTCCTGCCCCCTTGTGATGTTCCTAGCCTTTCAACATCCCTCGCCTCTCATTTCATCATGTCGACCACCCCTGATTGAATAATATCACTGCCTGTAAGAATTACTATATATCATCTACACGTGTGTCGACCATCACCCTGCTTGACGTTTTCAACAGGAGCCATGAGGAAATCCCTTTTTCAGCGTCTCCTGAGATCGCGATCTGGCAGATGAGGGCATGAAGGCGGGGATTCCACCGTCCTGACAAGCAGCTCGTCATGTCTCATCCTCTTGCGCTTGACTGCTAGTCTAGAAGCGAAGACGGGATGCTGCGGCGAGAGCAGACTATGCCGGAGTATTCTGAGCATGAGATAGAGATGACGAAATCCCCCAACAAGCGTCGCTCCATGGAAGTTACTCGCCAAAATTTCCAGACTGTGTTGAAAATGCAGAAAGGAAATGCGAGCTCTGAAGTTGTTTCACCGACGAAAACCTCTCAGCTCGACCACGTTAGCGAGGACCCATCATCCATGGTTGACAGCAGCTTTGTCGAGATTGTCGACGTCGTCAGAAAGTAAGTTCAGCGTTCTCTCAACGTCAAACATCTGAAAGCACATGATGCAGAGTGACTGCAAAAGATTTCCAACCCGACGAAGAGATTACAATCCTAGAGATCAAGAACGACCTGCAGTCGTGCATGTATCAGATCAGCCGGTGGGACTTGCTAGTGCTATGTCGCACCATGGAGCCGTCTCTCACGGTTGCTGCTCTCTCTCTCTCCCTCGAGACCTTCTGACCCCCCCTCCATCAGCGTTCAGGCTCAAGAGAGAAGCTGCAGGCTCCGTGAGGCGTGCTTGCCGTGTTCCGATGTTTCTGACGTGATCGACAGGCAGCCAAGTCCGGCCGCGCACGTGCGGACCAGAAGGAGTGATTTCTTCGTTTCGTTGGACGAGGACGTGGAAGAAGTCAAGAATCAGAATCAAAGCAACCTCCAGTTTCGAGATCTGCGCTGTCTACAGGTGAAGACGAAGAGTCGGCGAGAGTAAACTGAACGCTGGGTAGGGGATATCCAACTCGGTCTTGATGGTCAGAAGAGGAAGTTTGGTGATCAGTTTGGATGTGATGAGGGCTGTTGTGACAGTGAGTTGCTCATGGCTGCTTTTGTCAAGCTTTGATGTCGTTGGATCAGAGAGGAGCATTGTACATCGTTGTTCAAGATGGTGCGGATGCGGTCCTTCAGCCTTTGCTACCTCGTCTCGAGTCACTGAAAGATATTCCCGAGGTAAACTTGTTGTAATCGACCACACGTGCAAAATTGCAGTTATTTCTCTGCGTCTTTGCGTATCCGATGTGAAATACAAACATCAACATGTATAGATGGTTGTTCTCGTATAACCAGGCGTTGCTGTTTCTCTTTGGTCCTCGAGCGCCTTTCCTGTTTGTAACGAATCTGAAAGTTGCAGGACTATCCTTTTGAGCTACAAGCCCTCGAGGCGATCCTTTACACCGTCTTCAACTGGTGCGCCTGACAAACAAGCTCCCTCACATCCCTCTTGAAGCGTTTCTCAGGCACATTGACAAGGTCAAGAGGTGCCTGAACAAGGCCCACAACGTAAGCTCAATGATAAGATCGAGACGCGTTAAATGAGAGAGAAAATTTCGACAGATCCTGAGCAACATCGACGTCATATTGAACGATGAGATTCTCAATCAATTCGCAGCACTGCAGAGGAGCATAGACAAGGTCAGGACGAGGCGAAGAATTCGTCTGTTGAGGAGTCGATGGGAGGCTGAAAATTCTTCAGGAGCTCAAACACGTGGAGGATGTGGCCAAGGCTGTAGACGAGCCGCAGAGCAACCATTCCCTCATGGCTCAGATGTACCTCTCTTCATCCCTCCCTTCGTTCCTTCGTTCCTCCTCTTTCTCCTTCTCCTCTTTCTCCTCCTCCTCCTCCTCTTTCCCTTGTTCTCTCCCAATTGTGTTGCCCGTTTCCGCTCCTGCTTCTGGATCTTCACTCCTTCCCATGCTCGCTCTTCGATATCCTCCTCGAGCTTTCTTTGTTCTTCCCCTCATGGCACTCCACACAAGGTTTCTAGCTTCTCCCAACGAGCAAGGGAATGCAGAGCTGGTGGAATCGCTGCTGGACGGATACAGCATGGTGTTTGAGATGATGCTCTTGCATCTTCGCAGCCTCGATCGCGATGTGAGCTCCCTGTCCTCCCTCCTTTCCCTCGCCCTTGTGCACCCAACACCCGTTCCCCTCCTCCTCGCTGTCGTCGCTTCCTTTGCAACCAGCTGAATGGTCTGCAGATCGACTCGCTGCAAGACATGGTTCAGCTTCGCCTAAAGATAAGGAGAAATCGCATCATCGTTGCAGACATGCGATTCACCTTCGCCACCACCGTCTTTGCCGCTACTGCGCTGGTATCGTCTTACTTCCCTGTCCTCAGCCAGCGTCTTCTGACCTCCTCCTCGGACTTGTTCTCTCCGATCCCATCCTCTCTGCCCTCATCATCCCACTATCTCTTCTTCTCTTGTCTTGTCTTTTCCCTCCCCTTGCTCGTCTGACTAAGTTTCAAATACTGTTCCTCAGGTCGGGGCTTTCTTTGGGGAGAACTTGAAGTCTGGTCTCGAGCCCTTCCAGCCCGCCAGTCCCTCCATCGCTACCAACGCTGAGTCTCCATGGTCCTCCTCCTCCTCTTCCACACTCTATCCTCCATACTTCTTGGAGCCCTGCCTCCTCCCTCCCTCGCTACGTCCCTCGTCTTCTTTCCAACCTCATCTCTCCCCTCTCCTTTCTGTTAAATCCACCCTTCGGTCTCTAAGTCCTTTGTACCATCTCCTCTCCTCTTCTGCTCACGTTCCGCAGGCCTTGGATGATGGTCACCCTGGGTTCCTGCAGCGCTGCTGTAAGCTGCTCCTCGTGATGCGCTCCTATTTCCTTCTATCAATTTTCCTTCTTCTTGTCTGTTTCTTTCCCACCCCTTCCCACAATCCTCCCTTCTACACAATCCTCCCTTCTCTGATGAACACACTTATCCTTTCTCCTCTGTTCACTCTCATTGTTGCCTCCGTTACTCTCCAGAATCATGTCTTCTCTCTTCTGTTTCTGCCTTGTTTCCTCGTCTTGTTTTCTTTTTTCTCTTGTCTGTTATTCTTCGATTCTTGCTGATTTACTGCAGATCTTGACCATTGGGTCTGTGCTGATCTGCCTGCATTTCTCGGGATTATTCCGCTGAAGTCTCGAAGGATTTTTTCAGTTTTCTTTCTCTACCTTGTTGCCCTCCTTCTCAGTCTTTCACTCTTCTTTCCTCCCTTGCAAGCTTCTTCAACTCTTTCAACCCTATTCGTCATGCTTATTGTCCCTTTCTAGCCATACAAAGTACATCACATCTCACCCCTTGCTCTGAGTCAGAGACCTCACGGGAGCACTCAGTCAGCAGGTCAAGGTGTTTTACTTGAACAGTTAACATGAAAGAGAGGAGCTTTGAAGGGGGAGAGGGTTAAGGGGCTCGGACGGCAGGAAGATAGCTCTGCACGTTTGTTCTCATCAGCAGATGCTATCGCAAACGTCTCTCATTCCACCAGAGCAGGAGAGCGTACAAGATGAGGAGACAGACCATCTGTTTCCTCCCTCTCTTGCTCTTGTCTTGGACCTCTTACCCCATCCGAACCAGGACGATCCCTGCCTCTCCTCCTCGCCCTTACAGGTGCAGGGAGGTACCATGGTCATGCTTCTACTCTTCCTAGCGATCACTCTGCAGGCCAGGAGTCAGAGCAGGGAGGAGGAATCTCAAGAGGAGAGAGGGGGAGGAGGAAGCTCAGCAGGAAGGGGGGGAGGGGAGAGGAGAGGAGGAGGAGCGAGTTACCTGTCATAGTACGCTTCTTCGACGAGGACGTATCGGTCGCTGGCGAACATCTCCTTGAACATGATGTCGTCTGAAGGACAAGAGACTTGCAACGCAAGACCAGAGGAAGGAGACGAGACTTCGCTGATCTGCATGAGCGAAGACAAGCACACGCTACACAAGAGGATCGAGCTCAGCAAGCAAAGGATCACGGAGGAAGTAAAGGAGTTGCGGGTCGGCAGCGTTCCAATCGTAGAGGCAATCCGCTGCTCACTTTCAGCCTTGCCTTCCAGCTTTGTTTCTTCATCGTCCCCCTCTGTGTTGTCACTTTGACTCAGGAGGTTGTTTCGGTCTACAAGGTGGAACTTGTGTTGAGTCTCTACCGACTCTTGGAACGCTTGCTGTGCCTCAGGCTCTGTCTGGACTGAAACATCGACCATGGAAGCCTCGTGAGCTCTCTCGATCTCCTCCATCACGTCGCCCATCACACCCTCTACCTTCCCCAGACATCGCAGCACTTCTCTGATCTGTCTCTGCATCTCATCATGAACCATCGCCGTTCGCGTCGCAAGCCTGTGGACAGCCTCTCCCGCATGAAAGTGAAGTCGAGAGACAACAGAAAGAGTCCCTTCCAAGTGGCGGATGGAGGACTCTATCTCCTCAGCTTCTCGCTGCATCGTATCATCGCGAAGGGGGCGGGGAGGAGAAGAGACCATGTTGAAGTTGATCATCCAGTCCTGCTGCACCTTGTTGGGCTCATCATGGTACAGCAAGGGAGTCTCTTTCTGCGACAGGTCAGACATGTTCACTTGGTCGGCTGGTGAGGCCTGTTTCTTGTCGGGGCTGCCGTGCCTAGAGCTCACTGATACAGTCTCGTCGAGATGATGGCCTGCCCTCTCCTCAACTGCAGACAACCCTCCATCTCCATCCTTGACCTCGCGCTCCGACGCAAACTCGTGCTCCTGCTGCTCCTCTGGGACCCATGTCGCGCGTCCATCTTGCGACTCCCCCCATATCATAGCATGCAGATCTTTGAGCTCGCTGTCCTGCCTTCGGAGCTTCTCCTTCAATTGAGAGATTTCTTCTTCATAGACGAGGACGGAACAGGGCAATGCCATGCCTAAAAGACGATCATCAACAACGAGCGCACAAGCTCCTCCTATCAATGTTTGACTCCTTCTACTCAAGCCGAAAACCTTACTCGGATCCTCTTCCAGATGAAACTATCATCTTTTCCCTCATCTTTCTTGATTCCCTCATCTTTCTTGAATGCCTTCCTTCTTCTTTTTCATCCTCCTCCTAGTCAAGTCAAGTTCTTCCTCTCCCTTCTCCTCTCCCTTCTGCTTCTCCTCCTCTCCCCCCCATTCCGTCCTCCACGTCGTGCAACGTTCAGTTTGACTTCAAATTCTTTAGACGCCGGGTTCGCCTCAGAGAATCCATTATCCCGGGCCCGACCCGGCCCTCGGGCCGCGCACTCAAATCATACGGCTACTAAAGAACACTCGGAGGCTCGGTATCGAGGTCGACATGAAATCTTTTACTCAAAGTAGTAAGAATCCGTGGCAAGAAAGCCTGGCGGGGCCAGATGATAACTGACGAGCCTGATCATACTACCCACGGAGGCCAGCTAGGAAGGCCTTCCTCAGATCGGACAGCGAGAAACAACCCTGATCCTGCCCACTGCTGTCCCCAAAACCTGGCAGTGTTAGGGGCACAAGTTTGTTAGACTTGTACTATGCCCTGAAAGTCACGCAGATATCATGGCACATCGACCTTAGTTGTAACAAGACAGTTTTTGCTCAAGACCGAGTTTAATGCACCCTCAGTGACAAAACCAGAATTGAGGAGCACATGAGAGATAGACTGTATGCTAGGATGTGAAACCCAAGCATCCAGACATGAGAGGACCTTAGCAAGACGGCTAGGAAAGCCCCCTCTTCGTCCCACACGCTACATTGCCGCCTTTAAAACACGTAAGAGTCGTGGTTTACAGGAGAGTATTGTTAACTCGGCGCTATCTGACTGGCCCGGCTGGTATGTGATCCATCAAGACGGCTACCGGGGACTTGACTAAGTGAAGCCGTGTGCGCTACCGTATGATTATACCTGGGCCCGGCTAACAACCGTGACTGAGAACCAGCTACTAGAAAGACTTCCGTTGGAGGGAGCAGCGCAGAGAGCATGAAAAGGTTCCCGTTGATCGTTTCATGTTACTATCAGCCTCATCCTCTACAACCTCAATCCCTCCGGCGCCCTGATCTCGCCTACCGTCGGCCTTGGATGGTTCCTATCGCGATTCACATTGGATTTATCGCAGCAAGTCCGACCACCATCTCCATCGCAGTCTTCTCCTGCCTTGAAAGCCCGCATTGCTCACCAGGTGCCCACAAGGTTCACTTACGATCGATTCTATCTGACGATGACGTCGATGAGGGAAAGGAATCATTCCCTGGGAGCACCTCCCTCATCCTCCTCTGCTCTCCTCTGCTCTCCTCTGCTCTCCAATCCTCCCCTCTCTTCCCCTCTCCTCTGCTTTGCTCTCAAGGTGCTCCTCCTGTAGAGCATCTCCACTTCTCTTCCATGATCAGCAGTTCCCTGTCCTCCTGTTCAATCTTGTTCACAGTTCACCCCATCGCTTCTTTTCCAACTCCACAAGATCTGTGTTGTTGTCAAAGATTGGATTGACGGCGAGCAACGGCTCCGATGCGACTGTAAGATGATTCTATCATTGCCAATTGCATTTCAGAATTCGAAGAGGCAAGATTCACATGAGTCAGTCTTTTACATCAGAAGTTGATGCTCTACCTTCACTAAGGTCGACAGCTTCATGTCGGAACTTGTTCCGCTCTTCAGACCATGGAAGTAGCATCTTCATCCCGCAACCGTGCAGATCATGCATTCATCGCATTGGACCAGAGAGCACGTCACATGAGAGTCAAACATCACAGCAGCTCTTCATACAGAGGTCCTCTCTCCATGAACTGCAGGAGTCTTGACCGATCCAGGAATGCTTGTCTTGTTGGAAGATGTTCGGAGCTACTCACAATGATCTGGAGTGAGTGTAAACAATCAGCTTCAAATTGAAATATGCAGCACTACCTTCGATGAGAATCCGGTATCCACTAGGACAACTGAAGGGAAAACCTCCTGATACGTCCTCAGGACGTTCACCTGGCTCTGTGATCATGGTCAGCGATGACATCAACTCAACAATCTCCTCACCCCAAACAAGTTCTGAACGATGACGCCATGTTCAGCGAGAACTCGTTCTCTGATGATCGTCAGCCCCTCCACAGTCAACATTGAGCAAGGATGTCCAGCGCAAGCGTCCTGCGAGAGATGTTGGCATCCTTGAGCCGCATGGCTACATCGTAACCTGCACGACAACATCATATCTTCCTTGAGCTTCCTTGTAGTCATTCAGCTGGACTAAAAGTCAGATGCAAACTCTCTGACTTCTTCATCCACCAACCCAGCGCCGCCCGTCAGCCACAAAGGTCCTGGTCGACGGGCGCTCAACGACGTTGAACCAGGTGAATGCGATGGGAAAGATGTCTTTCTCAAGGTCAACGATGTCTATCGACGCTGAAGGGAACTGATGCTGCAGGTACGCCGGAATCATACCCCCACCCATCCCAAAGATCAAGATCTTGCGGGGAGGGGAGAAGCTCAGGAGGAGGGTGAGCTGCAAAAGATGTCATGGATGGTTCAGGGCACATCATTCAACCATGGACGCCATGCAGCAGGAGCAGGGGATGGTGAAGATGTTTGGATTTCCAACCTTGCCATTCCAAAGTCATCAAAGGGACAAAACAGGACAAGGCATACACTACCACAGCAGTTGCCTGTCGCACGGACTTGAGGCTGCCAAACTTGAGTGTTCTCACCCCACCTTGATCATACACGAAGATTTGGTTGTTTCCTCCTTCAAGAGGGTCATAGTGCTTGGATAGTTTTCGCACTTCCTGGATTTCCATTCCTTCCCACCAGCAAGTCGTGTCGAACCCGCAATTGTACCGGGTCTTCGCAGCAAACAGAAGGCAAGCAAGCAGGAGCAAAGAGAGTGTTGCCAAGAGCATGAGGGTTGTGGGATGAGCCAGCAGCCTCGTCCTCTGCCGCTTCAGCCGCGCCCACATCACGTGTCGCTCCCGCCATACCCCCGGCGTCATTTCAGGGTTCTGCTGGGTAATTTTATGCGACAGTGCACGCGCCCGCCCCGGAGCCCTTGACTTCGTAGTCACTCGTCAGTGGGTCACGGGGTCACGGGGCCCGGACCCGGCCGGGACTCTAATAACTTAGCCCTTAGTTAGTAACTCAATAATATTCAGGTCGCCGGGCCGCCGGGTGATCGCCGGCCGCCGGGCCGCTGGGCCCGGTAGCCGGAGGGAGCGGCCCGGCATTGACGTCGGACCCATCGGAGCCTGAGGGGGAGGCTCATAACCTATTCATGATCACTTGTCATTTCTGGTCCTGAGGTGAACTCGGCGACAAACCTGGCAAGATGGCATCTGCACCGCCGGGCTGACTGAGGAGGGGAAGGAAGAGGAGGGGGAGGGGGAGGGGGAGAGACAAGAGGAAACCATGACATCAGTGTCTCCTTGCACTTTCATCAGGATATCTTGCCACTAACATGACGGATGGACAAATTCCGTGAGTTGCCATCCACAGAGCGCCAATCAACTGGAATAACGCCTCTATGAACCAGAGCCTCGCCAGGAGAGCTGGCGGGAGTTGGCATTGTGTTGGGACAAGAGCTCAAGGAGGAAGATGATATGGACACTACAGTCGAAGGGCTGATCCGAGGTAGCTTGAATCGTGAGAGTATAGGAGTTCAGACTTTCTCAAGGTGGGTCGGCAAGAAGCAGCAGACTGATCCATGTGTTCGACCTGCTCGTGAAGGTGAGACAAGAGATGACAAGAGGTGCATGGAAGCTTCCGGCTAACAGCAGCAGGTTGACGACGTGGATGTCGGTGGGATGGGTGTGGAAGAGATCTCGTCCATGGTCATGCTTGCTGTCGCTTGTAGCCGTTTAACCCCCTTGGCAGGTTGTCGGGCCCGTCGGAACTTTCGTGCATCTCACGTTCCATCGTCCTTGCGGCACAAGACGGTGAACGCTGCCACTCTCGAAGCTCCTCTGAGTAGCCATGCAGGGGGTCTGAAACGTTTTGGATGCTGGAGGAAGAGGAGGAAACGGAAGACGACTGGTGGGGAGCCTTGGTTTACGAGTCGCAAACAGCAGCACGGAAGGAGTATCGAGTGAAGCTGAGACGAGGAAGACCAGCTCGTTCATGTGCAAGAGACTTTGAAGACGATGAAACGACGAGCAGCGAAGGATCGGAAGGATTGGAAGTAAACGCGAGAGAGGAAAGGAATTCGAACATGGTAGCACGATTAGCTGATGCTGACAGGCGTCAGGACACGACTGAACCCTCAAGCTCCTCCTGTCTTTCAAGCATGAGGCTCTGCTCGCCTTCAGCTCCTGCATGTCATCGTTCACACAGCAGGTGGGCGCTAGCTCTGCTCG